AGAGGGAGGGAGGGACAGAGGGAGGGAGGGAGGGAGGAAAAGGGCGGAACGCAGGATAGTAACATGTTGGCAAGGAATAGATCGTTTCGAAGCAAAGATGTGGCAGTGAGGGGGAGAAACGGGGAGAGATAGAGAAGGAGGGAGGCAGTGGGGAGGAGAGTAGAGGGAAAGGTGTGCTCCCCCAAAAAGACACATAAGACGTCTCCCACGCACCACGATGGCATTCCGCGACAAGGAGCGGCCAACATGGAGCCAAGGCATGTGGGGGATGCGTGCGGGACGTGCGTGCAAGCGAGAAATGTGGCGCATGTTCCAAATCAACGGGATAGAACAGGAGGCAGGGGGAGAGGAGGTCGATAGGCTCCGTGGTACGCCCTCCTTTACAACTTGCACGCAAAGGCGGGGTCTCAACCGGGCACCTCTGCCAGCGACAATAGATGCCAGCGTACCATGGTGAATAATAGCAGGACGATACATCGGGGAGGAAACATATCGTGAAAACATTGGCTGTGCTCCTGCGCTGTCAATGCGTTGGCCGGAAAGGAAGGAAAACCATGCGCAATGCTACCATTTGTTGCTGTGTTTTAAATGTGGAGTGCGACGAGCGAGAGGAAGAATAGCTGAGTGTTTGATGTGAGGGAACAAGATTTAAAGAATAAAAGATGAGCCATTTTGGCCCCGAAATGTATATTAGGAAGGAGCAATGATCGGCTCTCACTTAGCAAACGTTACTGCCACTGTCAGAGGAAGGGGGGAGAAATAAAATTTTGTGCGCACGAAGCGTGCCCGACCCTGGAAAGGGAAAGATTGTGAGTGTCTACGACAGCATTCATGCTGAAAAGCTTGAATATATCATCGCCGCTACTATTTTTTATTTTTTATCTCCTGTGTCCTGTGCCTCTTGTGGCCTGCTCGATACCCGGTTACTGAGCTTTCTCTTTTGATAAACACAAATGTATATACATCTTTACAAAGGACCAAAACCCTTGTCCTAGCCCCCGCACACATGAATGCCACGCTCCTGAAGTAGACGCACGAATTTTCAAAAGCTGGATGTAAGACTGGCACAAAATAAGTGTTACCAGGCCCTTTTTGTAATCCAGTCATGATACATACGAATGTACAAGAGCGGATTCCGTAGACAAGCACGTGCTTTCAATAATGAAGGAAGCACAGGTATGGCAGGCCGTGCACACAACAATTTCATGCCTCCGCATTACCTTCGTCTGCATATTTAATTGTGTACGCTGAGTGTGGATAATTCTTTGTATGGTGCACTACCGCAGGGCTACAAGAGGTGCGAGTCTCGGTGCCTGAGCTACCTCTTTACTAACCTTAACACACAACCCCAACAGCCACAAGAACGAGCATAAATCGCTCCAAAACTTCCATTGGCATCGTTACCAGCGTATAAGGGGTGCAATCGCAGTTGTTGAGGTGTCTGAAGTACATCAAGCATCCAAAGCAGCAACAGCAGCAGCAGCAGAGGAGGTAACGGCAGGAGGAAAGCTGACACTGTTGCCTTCAAGACCTAGAAAAGCTGAATCCTTCAACTCAGCCTTGATCCATGGCGTACGATACAGCTAAAGAA